GGAACTGGATGAGCTTTAAGGTCCCTTCTAAGCCAGACCTTTCTGTGATTCTGTGATCTAGATTCAGAACAGCAAAGAGCCCTTTATTTGGAAGTTGTGTGTATTCAGCTAATGTTTTGGTGCCTCTTCCCAGCCTTTGCTGAGCCTGCCACTGACTGCTTCTGAAGGTGGGTTTGCCTTCTGGTACATGGAACCTCTAGGAGTTGTGCTGTCGAAGCTGTGTGTTTCCCCAGTGAGCAGAGGGGGAAAAAGCCTTGTTACAGGTCATAACCTGAGTCATTCACATTCCCTTGGAGTATTTTATGGGATGCCCATGGGAGCACCTACTATGTTGTGCTTGGATTAGATTAGTTCCTGGCTGTAAAAGGGCAGTTTTCACTTGGACATAAGCTGTTAGCTTCTCCACAGTGTTATTAACTGAAAGACTCACCAGCAGATGGAGTGTAAATCGGGAAAAGAGAGCTGGATACCAAGTTGTGTTAGTGATCTGAAATGGACTGGGGTGTTGCTTGTGTCCTGTTCCTCCCACAGGCAGTAGGGAAAATCATGTCTGTGAAAGCACATCTCCTTACCCCACTGGATAGTCAACAGAAGCACGTGGCTCTGATGTCCCTGCTTTCTTCTGTGGCACTCTGGGTCCCTGTCTTCATGAGAAGTGTCCCCATGTGCCAAAAACTGGCAGCAGTGGAAAAAAGTCCCTTTGGTTGTAAATTTGAAGGCAGTGGCTGATGACATGTGGCTGGAGGGGGTGAAGAAGGAATAGCTGTGACAGGTGGGGTGATGTGTGTCTGTTCTGGCTTTTGGTTGCTTTTTAAAAGAGCAGAGTAGGCTACAGGGCTTCCAAAGGTGAAGACTTGGTGGTGATAAAATAAATTAACTGATGGTCTCTTTGGGCTTCTGTGTACTCTCCTGTACTCATTGCAGTGACCTGCCTCGTATGGGGCACAGCTGGGATGTATAGAAGGATGTGGTGATTAATGCTTACGATATCTTCTCTTGGGGTGGTTTCTCTAACAGGGTTGTACATTGATTCATACTCATATGTCTTGCTTTCAGGCTCCTGGTTTCACTAGATGGCACCACCAGCCAGCTGCTCTGCTCACATCCATGGCCAGACTGTCAGGAGTTAGAGAGGATGCACCGATAGCTTGTTTTTTGGGGGTTTTTTTCCCATTTCCCTCCAAAAAAAAATGTTGCAGCTCATTATTTTTAACTCTGAATCCTGTTCAAGCTGGCAACGTGTTTGGGAACTGATTGTAGTAGATTTAACCTGCTGTCCATTTTGAGCTCATTAGCACTGAGGAGGAGGAGAATAGTTCCAGCAGCCAAGGCAAGGTCAAGGATCTGCACCCTCCGTGTCTGCTGAGGTTTGGAGGCAGCGTGCTTGGGGCAGCAACTGTGATGATGATGATGACTCTAGCTCTAGATGTAGCTGTTGGCAATCTTACCACAAAGCAGGGCAGTGCCACTGAGTGCCCTTTACTTGGATTTTTTTTTTTTTTCTTCCTCTAATTAATAAATCTAATGTAGTGGAAAAGCCTCTTCCAGGTCTGCTTGTTCCAGAGCATTGGTACGTGTGGGTTTAAAAGGGCTCCTAGCTGGAGGGACAGCAAAATAGTCAAAAATTACTTCTGCATGGGATGTGGTACTTGGTACTTTTCCATTAGCAGCTCCTGTTTGTGCATGTAAAAGCTGGCTGAACCCAAGGAGAGCATCAGATCTCTGTGACAAACTAACTAGGACCTTTTGAGATTCTTCTGTAATGCTCAGACCCCACTCTGAGCAAAACTAGGTAAAAATCCAACTTGCTGTTACCTCCAGGTAGTAACTAGAAAAAGCTCAGAGCAGCAGCTGCAGTAGACAGCATTGGAGGATTCCTTAGAGGAGGACAGATGTGAAGGGCTGCAAGGAACAAACTCCTCTATGGCCAGAGGAACTTCATTTAAAGAATCATAGAACAGTTTGGATTGGAAGGGACTTTTAAAGGTCATGTAATCCAACCCTCCTTTAATGAGCAGGGATGTCTTCATCAAGATGACCTTACTCAGAGCCACATCCAACCCAATCTTGAATGTTTTCAGGGAAGGAATAGTTGCTTCAAGTATCTTTTTCAGGGCATATTGGTGGTGGTACTGAAGCCATTTGTGTCCGACTACTGCTCCAGAGTGGTAACCAGTGGGCATGCAAAATATTGTGTAATAAAATAATGCTGTAATGGCAGCTGGCACAAGCCTGGAGACATGCCAGCACGCAGGGTTTTAGGGATTGGCACTGGTACCTTTATGCTGGAGGTGTGTGTAAGGTCCTGCTTCCTCAGTGGTCCTCTGGTCCTGTGAGCTGCAGGGAGGAGATGGTTTTATTGTGCTGCTTATCAAAAGCTTAACAGGCTCTTGGGCCATATCGTTTCACTGTTGTTACCATAATTTCAATTTGCCTGGAAGAATCATGAGGACTGGTAGGTAGTGATGAACCCTCCCTAGCTTCCCTTGGGTCACATTCCATGGCTTGAAGATGCTGCTGCTGAAGGGTGCCAGAATCACACATCGACCTCCCAAACACCTCTGCCGTTCATCCTCTGACCTGGGGATGCAAGCATTGTCTCTGGTTAGTTTGGAGCCAGGTCCATTGGTTTTGCTCAGCTTTAGACTGGTAAATGCTGAGGGTCCTCCAGACTTTGACTGCTTTTGCGTTGAAGATTGGTGCAGACTGCACACATGTATTAGTTCAGCTCTGCTGGTTAACTGAACCTCTCTAATTTTCTTTGCAGTAAAACGATTTAAGGAACCAAAGGAAGAGAGGCGTCCCTGGAGGATATGGTGAGATTTTTTTAATTTGAAGCTTGAAAAGACCACAAATATGTAATATTATTTTTGCTTATACTAACAGTTTTGTAGACCCTCTGGATATCTTGCATGGTATTTAGTCATTAAATTAAATTCTTTGCTGCTGCTTCCTAAGGAAACCTCCATAACCTGAAGGGGGCCTACAAGAAAGCTGGGGAGGGACTTTTTACAAGGGCAGTTAATGACAAAACAAGGGGAAATGGCTTTAAGCTGGAAGAGAGTAGGTTTAGATTAGATATTAGGAAGAAATTCTTCATTGTGAGGGTGGTGAGACACTGGAACAGGTTGCCCAGAGAAGTTGTGGAAGTGTTTAAGGTCAGGTAGGATGAGGTTTAGAGCAACCTGGTCTAGTGGAAGGTGTCCCTGCTGATGGCAGGGGGGTTGGAACTGGATGATCTTTAAGGTCCCTTCCAACCCAAACCATTCTATGATTCTATAACGTAGCTGGTGCTCCACAGAAGTAAGATTCCCTGCCTGCTTCTTCCTGAAAAACTTGTTTTTGCTGTAGGTGACTGAACTGAGAGGTTCTGGTTCCCTCCAATCTGCTGAAATACTTGCACGTGGGCTGTCTCCTAGACAGGGTCAAGTTTTGTTCTTAAATTCAATTAATCACTTTGGTGTCCCCTGACCCGGCTCAGGCATAAACCAGGCAACATGTTTGGCTGTGTTTTGATGTGAGGTAGCTGGGCATTGTTGTGAGCTTTGGACATCTCTCCAAAGCATCTCTGTAATGTAGGATTTATAGGCTGCTGAGTGGTGGACGACGTATGGTTGGGATCAGCATACAGTCAGGCTGGTTTGGCAGCACAGAGCTACCAGCCAACATCAGTGATGAAAAGCCTGTTAGTCTTCTCAGTTTGGTTCTTCCTCTAAAATAATTTGGGAATTCTGTTCCCTGTAGATGAGTGCAAAAATACTAAGTAGCTGAACTCCTTCCTTGCACCTACTGCTGGCTGGAGAAACTGAGGCTGGACACTGGAGGGTGAACTGCCCTTTGCTGTAGACTAAAACTTGGCAGCTAAAGCAATATCTTTTTTTTTTTTTTTAAGTACTTAGAGTCAGCCAAACTGCCCCTTTTCACCGTGTACAAATTCTTGGGTGTGGTGAAAGCATCTTGGAGGAAAGCAGATTTGTGCAGGGCCTTTGTTTGGGTGACTGCTCCAGGGCACAGATCTTTTTTGCCTTTGTTTCTCCAGGTTTTACGATACCTCCAAGCAAGCAATAGGTGCACTCTTCATTCACTTTGCCAATGTTTTTCTGTCAGATCTCACTGAAGAGGACCCTTGCTCTCTGTAAGTACACAAGGAGCTTACATTCATGTCCTACATCTGTAAAATGAGGAAGCAAGTCTGTTGGAAAAGGTCATATATGGTGAAAACTGATCCATTTAAAGTACTAGGTGGGGATAAACTGTGCTGATCTTTTTTTGTTGTTGGTTTTTTGGGGTTTTTTTGAGGTCTGGGTTGTCTCCTGCTCTTTGTAGTCTCCTGGTTTGATGGAGATGAGGCAGCGTGACCATCCTTTTCTGATGACTAAAAGCACCTTGAAATATACTGGCAAAAGGCTGTGGTAAATAATGCAGGGGTGCCCCATGCAATTACATCTGTTAAATGTGCCATTTGTTTGCACACCAGACTTTGCAATTTGGCTTGTCTTGGAGCAGTGTTGAGGATGCTTTCCTCACTGTGTGGAGGAATGTAAAGATGTCCAATGTAAGGATGGCTTCTTTTGGAACTTCAGTTGCACCCACCAGATGTATTCATATATTCCTGTTTGAGGGCTTTCTAAGCTTTTGGACTTAACATAGAAACATCGCTTTTGCTTCAGACCAGCCATTTCACAGCTACAAATTTAGTTTCAGATTTAACTTTATCCTGTTTTGAGAAAGTCCTCTAGGCTCCAAAATGCTGCTTAAAAACATCTGACCCATCTTCTCTTTTATATATAAAAGTACTGCACCTTGGTATGATTCTTTAAACAGAAGTTTGTCTGGGTCTAAATATACCCTCTAAAATGATTCATTGTTGTTTTTTAAACAGACACTTTTAAAATAAACCCTTTTGTGTTTATGTTGTGCCCTTCTCTTTGTTTTTTTTTTCTTAATATGTGCTTTACATTTCCCTGTGCTGCCTGATTTGTCACCCTGAACAAGGCAGCTTGAAACTCTAAAACCCTGTCCCTGGGCTTTGAGGTTTACGTTGCTACATGTCCTGCCAGATATAAACCACAAGAGCCCCGTGTTTGTGTCAGAGTAGCCTGATTTCAGCAGCTGGAAACTGTAATAAGCTAGCCTGAGCCTTTGGATGTAGAAAAACTTAATGTCAGGTTTTCAAAACGGATATCAAAAGCAGATTGTTATTTTCAGTGTCTTTATTCAGAGGCAATATCAAGTTCTGGAAAAGGAAATGTTCATTCCTGTAGCTCTGTGCTTGGTATTTTCTTCACACTGTAGAAATCTGGCCTGATCTGGCAGAAAATATTCCAGTAATGGAAAACTGGCCAGAAAGCATTAGTCTGAGTGATATTTTTTTTTTTTTCCTCTGGAGTTCATTAAAATACCAAGCCCTGGATTAGAGCTTGGACCCTGCAATCCCCAGAAGGTCCCTGCAGGTCTCCTGCCTCTGATGCTCTGTCCAGTAAGGCTTAAACATCCAAAGCTGCAGAGCAAACCCATTGAGCCCAAATCTCCTGGTTGGGATGGCTTCAGCCTCTGAATCTGCAGTGGGGACCCTGAACTGAAGGGTTTTGGAGATGCCAGGATGCTGGCTTTTGAGCCAGGGCTTGTCACCTCTCCCAAGACCTTCTGCCCCTCAGTCTGTGTCTCTGCTCGTAGGAACCTCTTGCAGCTGCTCAGTAAAATGGGAATTTTTGCCTCTTCTCCTGTGCAGTTTGCAGAGCAGCTCTGGTGTCCAAGAAGCTTCGATTTTCTTGTACAAAATGCCAAAAATGTTTGGTTCTGTTTCCTTGAAATTTGGGATTTCATCCTAATAAGAAAAAAAGATGTTGTGAATGGCAAGCTTTCTTTTTTGGGGGGTAACCTTTAAGCAAGGCTAACCCTAAGCAAGGCAAGGAAGTATTTAATGCTGCATGAATAAGGAAGCAAAGCCAGAGAGCTGGTGGAGCCTGCTCCCTTCTCTGCTGAACAGGCTTTTAAACTAAGAAATTACTGGTGAGGCTATAGGAAAATCCAATAAAAGAGAAAGGAAGTGAGCTTGGACTATTAGGTGAGAATTTTTTTAAATCTTGGGTTTGTTTTGGGGTTTTTTTATGGATTCCCATATTGAAATAAAAGATTTTAAATAAGGTTTAAGAACGCAACTGAAATCTGAGTTTTCCTCTGCTCTTAGCTACCTTATTAATTTCATCCTTGATGCCACGCTGGGGATGCTGCTGATCTGGCTTGGTGTGAAAGTTGTCTCCTGGATCGTGCAGCATAAGAATTACACGTACCTGGTCTTCGGAGAATATGGTAGGTGTCAACTGCTCTGCACAAAGGTGACTTATTTGCTTCTAGCTGTGAATGGGGAGAAGAAAATGGCAGAAAGTACTGTTTGGGGGTACAACGGGTGAGCAGCCTGCTTCTGTTATCCCTTTTCCAAGGAGCTCACAGAGTGTGATCAGTGTGTTAAATGCTGGGACATCACTAGGTTGCAGGTAACTCTGCCAGCTGCCTTGCCAAGCATGCTTGGGCCTAGCAGGTTGGTGATAGAGTCATAGAATTTTTTTGGTTGGAAAAGACATCTAAGATCATTGAGCCCAACCATTAACCTATCTCTACCAAGTCCACCACTAAACTATGCCCCTAAACACCACATCTGCAGTCTTTTAAATACCTCCAGGGATGGTGACTCCACCACTTCCCTGGGCAGCCTGTTCCAATGCTTGGCAACCCTGTTGGTGAAGAAATTTTTCCAAATATCCACAATGAAAGGTTGAACATTTCCCTGAGTGTGTAATATATGCCAGTACATGCATATGATAAATTAAGGTGTTTGAGTGTGGTGGTGGGGACTGTTGTGGGGTTACAGAGTCACAGAATGATGGATTTAGTTTGTTTTGTTTTTGTTTTTTTTTCTAGCTGCTCAGTTCAGAACATGGAGTTGCTCTTGCATTTGCCTTGAGCTGTAGTAAGCATCAGCAGGACACAGCTTGGCCCCAAAATTGAGTTCTCAAGTTATTTGTGGGTTTTTTGGGATGGGGTCAGGGGAGGTTTGTGAGCTGATTTAAAAAAAACCAAACAAACAAACAAAAAAAAACCCAACCAAACAACAACAACAAAAATCAAACACCACCACCAATCACAATTTTAAGCATGCCCAGGTCTGGCCTCTCTCTACTTCAATTCCTGCCTTGAGATGGAGAAAAAGTTTCAGAAAAGGCTTTCTCATCCAGCCCCACTAGAGGGTAGCACTTCTCTTCAGAAAGAGCAGAGGCAGCTTCCAGGAGAGCAGTGCTTCTCTGTGCCTGCAGGGAAGGGAAGTATTAACCCTTTGCCTGTTTTACATTATTTCTAATATAAAAACGAATTCAGTCTCACTTTAGAACATAATCCTATTCATGCCGATCACATTCCCACCTTTAAGACCTAAATCATTTAGTGTATTCTGAAGGTAGTCTCGTTCCTTTGTATTTTTAGTAGCTGTTCTGATAACTGAGGTGGTGAAACTTGGACCAAACTAGGATTAGTATGGAGACTCCACTGCCTTGTGAGCTCTTATTCACTCATGTTGAGCATGTGTAAATGGGTCATGGAACAGGATGAAGGGGATGGTTGGGTTTGTGAGACAGCAGAAGCAGCTACAGACTGGGAATGAGATGCCAACAGAGGAGTTGAAATAATGAGACATGGCAGGGGTCATCAAACCTGAGGGTGGCTTTATAGGCTGCCGTTGTCTCCAGAGCAGGTCCAGTCCTGACAGCATGCATTTGATGGGGACTATCTTTTTTTTCTGTAATGGCTCTTTCTCAAAGAGCTGAGTAGCTAAGCACAGACTGCTAAAGTAATTCAGATGAGACAGCAGAGGAATCCAGATATTCTCACTTCAGGGAGTCACATCTTTCCCCTTTTGAGCAACAAGGATTTGAAGCCCAACCTCAGCCGTCCCCGGGCATGGCTACAGCTTCACACGCCACGTCTGCAGTTGAGCAGAAGCAAGGAAATGTTAAAAGTGTATTGACAGCTTGCTTTAACCTTGCAGAGCAGTAATGAACTTCCGTTGAGCTGTAGCTGGCCCCTCATGAAGGCTGGCTTAGACTACAGAAACAGTACGCTCCTCTGAGGACATCTTGCTTTCATTAATAATAATTTTTAAAAAAGCTTCTGCTGTTGCTTGAATTTAGCTTTTGAGTTGGGAATTAAATATCTCATCCATCCAGCACCACTCTTGTTGCAGGTCTCTGGCCACAGTGACCACGATGGAAAAGTTAGGTAGGAGTCAAGTGGCATGTCCCATGTAATCCTGCTGTAGGGCTAGGGAAGGATAACACTGCTATCCTCATCTCAAGTGTTAAGTAACTTGCCAAACACTTTGGAAGATGCTAGTAAACTTTGTACAGTTTGATACAGGCTGCAGAAATATGATTCATATTCTGGTCTAATTGCTGTACTAGACTTCATGTTGCTTTCCTTAATTCTCCTGAGGAGCTAAATCTTCTCTTGCAGTCCTGCAAAGGGGGAAGGGAAACACCAAATCCACGTTGCAGACAGTGGTGAATCCTATTACTCCAACCCTCAGGAAAGAACAGTTGTCTTTCTCCAGTACAGCCTGTACCCATCTACCTGCATGGTTTTCAAGGCGGGGGCGGGGGGATAGAATCTGTTGCAACTGCTTCCTTTGTGACCCTCCAACTCTTGGTTGCATCCCTGCAACTGATGCAAACCACTGCAGTTATCCTCTGCTTTGGGCTCCAGCAGTCCCTTCTGCTCTGCTGTTGGTACTCTTACCTCCACAGCTCTGAGTGGTTCTTCCTGTGTGAATGCAAAAGCTGCATTAATGGAGAAGCAAAGAAAAAGGAAGGGAAAGCACCTAAATCTACGCTGCTATTTTAAGCATCCAACTGTCCAGAACTGTTTAGAAAAATCAATTACTTCCATATTTCCAAAAAACAGGGAACACTCATTCTGAGCTCAGCCTCTCTTGTGCCTGAGCTCTTAGCCAAAGACTGTCCCAGCCAGGAATGACCTAGTTTTTAGCTAGTGGAGAGTCAGAACCTCTTATATGCTTATGTTCCTCCATATTTGCCCAGCAACTCTTTGGCTGCCTTTAAGCACAGGAAACTGCACTTTAAAAGGCTGCTGTCTCTTCTGCAGATGTTTGGCTCCTAAAATCAAAGACTGGAGAGGTATGTCCTTCATCTTGATTCAAGTGGGCTTTGGAGGATGATGGTTACATTACACGTACTCAAAGTTAACAAACTCCACGAATGCTCTGTGCACCGTTGCTCTAGCAAGGTAGCAGCAGGCCATGTCTATAGGTGCTCTTCTTGTAGGTGACTTCTGCAGGGAGGAGAGCAGAGTTTAAGCTGCAAAGCACTCAGGAGGTGAATACCCAAGGTCTTGGAGTTGCTGCTGGGTCTGTACAGAGTCCGAGTGTGCAGATGAAGCCTGGTTCAGCTTTGTGTCCCACCTCCAAACTGTTTCAGCCCTCTTCTCCCTCCCCAATTCCTATGGTAATAAGCAGCTCCCTAGAGGGAACCTCTGGATGACTGCAGCGTCCTGTGGTGTCACTAGAGTGACTAGTAACTCTAAAATATTACTTTAGAAATACTGGAGTATTTCTTTTGTGTAAGCAAATGCTATGAATTGCATTAAGAGATGGTTTCTACAATGTGCAGGTAAAATGCTGAAGAGGAACATTGAACCAAGGGGGAGAAAAAGAGAGTTCTTGCTTGAAAATGCCTCTCTGGATGCCCATCTCGATGCTGACTTGTGTATGACTGTGGTTGCAGTCACTGACTAGTCTAAGTGTGACACTTTGTGCTCATTCACTGTCTGGAAATGGAAAGGCATGTTGCTTGGAGGCTTTTAAAGTCTGTTTAGTGGCTTGTTGAACTCTGCTGGTCAAATTTAGTTATAGGAGAATATGCTCAGTGCCAGCTGCTGAGTTTAACTGAGGACCTGTGTAGGCTGCTTTTGGCCCTGTTGTGATGTTGTACAAAATTTCCATAACAAATATTCCCACGTCCTGAAGTAGCTAAGGGAGCTGGCTGCTAATGTTTGAGGAAATACTGCTGAAAATAACTCAACCTGAGAGGCTGTCCTGTCCTTAGCATGCTTGGCCTTTCTACCTCCAGGACCATGGAGAAAAAGTAAGGAGAAGAGAGAAGTAAAGAGAAGGATCATCCTCAAATGGTGAAGTGTGTGGTCAGGTCCCCTGCCCTGAGCAGTGGTGCAAACCTTTGAACCTTCTTGGATCTGGCTGATGGCAGCAGTGGTTATCCCACTGCAGTAGCACTATCTCCAGGGACCAAAGACCCAGAGCAGTGGTGTGACACTGCAAACTGGGGACTGTTTCCAGCTGGATGCTCACTTGTAGTTCAGGTGCAGAACATCCCAGAGAGGGATGTCTACTGAACCCATCTGGCTGCCCTGATGCCAACTTGTCCTGCCAATAATTGGTGCAATTGCTGGTCAGGTCCCAATCTCTGCAAACCTGTTTTTGCCCTCCAAGTGCACACTTGTGTGCAATTCAGATGCTTTACTGCTATTTGTTACCCTCCTCTGTACTTGGCACTGCTAATTAGATCCCTTGGTTTTGGAGGTACCATTTGAGTATCTCTTAAGACCTTTTTATTGATGGTTTCTACTCCCACCACGTCACCAAGTACAACTTTCAGTGCTTTCAAATATTTACTTTTCCTCAGGCCCCCTGAACCCTCCTCTTTGGCTGTGGTTAAGCTTTTTTCTACCTGCTCAGGGCACACACTGTCCCCAAAAGACCGTAAATAAAGCTGTCTGGCAGTAACATGGGCTCTGCTGACAGCTTGGTACATTAGACAGCCAGGATTAAAACTAATCCTGTTGTGTGGTAACAACTCAAATACCTCAAGCAGCGCTGCTTTTGCTCAGCGAGCGGTTGGGCTTCCACACACAAGTGGAATGTGTGAGACGTGCGTTTGTTGTGAGGTTGCTGCAGCCACCAGTGGTCCTGGATCTGCACCAAGGAAGTTTTGCTGATGGTGAGGTGGCAAGCACCAGCAATGCTGCTGGAGGAGAATGGTCTAAATGCAGTGTGTGCATCCTTTGGGGTGAAGGAGGATATTTATTAGGGTGGGAGATGGCTAAGTGTTGAGTTTAGGTGTTCTTAGGTATGCCTAAGAGTTGAGCAAAGGATGTTCCTTAAGCTAAAAGGAGAGGCTGATGGTAGGGTCAATGTGTGGAGGTGTGAGGTCCTGGGTTACCTTCCCACTAAGGCTGGAGACAAGAAACTACCCTTGCTTCAGGGAAGTGTTCAAAGGGAGCATGATACA